GTAATTCCAACCAATACATTAATAAGCTGGTGCTGGAGCTCTTTTATATGAGATGCTATCAAAAGCATCACTAATGAGCACACTCGTTACATAAAAATGTAAAAATGCCAGTTTATTTCTGAGCTGGCCTCATACGCAGACCTCCTGTTTGACGCATAGTTAATATCTTTCATTTTTCTCATTCCTGTTACAAAGAAAGAGCCATCTTTCTTTTTTTTTTTACTCTAGTTTTGGTCATTAACATAGTTATAAACAGACAGCTTACAGAAGCAGTCTCTCGTGTTTACAATGAAGTTACAGAAAAACAGTTTTGTGTGTATTTCCTAGTCAATTAACGAGTCCTGGAACAAGAATTATTGGAGTGGTTCAAGCTCAGTTTAATTTTGTGTAAATGCTTTCGCATGCAACAAAAATGCAACTGCAGTAACTGAATGCAGTAAAATATATGGGCTTGGAGTCAATCTTGATAACTTTGAACCCTGAGTGCTGTGAAAAAAGGTATTTGCCCCTTCCTACTTTCTGTCTCTCTTTTTTGCATATTTGTCACATGTCTTACATTAAACTTAAAAAACAAAGATAACCAGAGTAAATACAAAATACAGCTTTTACATGATAATTTCATTTATTTAAGAAATAAAAGCTATTGAAAGCTAGTGAAAACTAAATCGTCTTCCCTTGTGAAAGCATGAAAGATCTCAAAAAGCAACAGCGGAGAAACAAAGTCAGTGACTTCAGTCTGGAAAGGGTTATGAAGCCATTTCTAACACTTTGGGACTCCAGTGAACCACAGTGAGAGCCGTTATCCACACATGGAGAAAACCTGGAACAGAGGTGAACCTACTCGTAGAGCGCATCGACGGCTTATCCAGGTCACAAGAGAACCCAGAACAACATCTAAAGAGATACAGGCCTCACTTGCTTCAGTTAAGGTCAGAGTTCATGATTCAACAATAAGAAAGAGGCAGAAATGGCGTCCACGGGACAGTTCCAAGGTTAAAACCACTGCTGACTGGTCAAAGTCTAGATTTAAATGCAACACTCATTGCCAGTTATTACAGACTCAAAATGTAACAAAATACCTGTAATAAATACAAATATCTCTCCACTTAAAAATACAAATATAGCAAAATTTCCTGCAGCTCATTGCTGCAGCTCAGATAATATCTGGGTGAGGTTTCTACTTTCTAATTTGATGGCAATTGAATGAACCGTTTGCTTTTTTGCCTCTAACATTGGCCATGTTCTGCAGTGCTTATCATCTTCTGCTGGTGTCTAATCTAAAATCTATTCTGGTATAATGGTGGATACGCCCACAATAACCACTCATCATGGATATATGGGTGTGCTCATTTCCTATTGACAGCAATTGACCTAATGTACTTATTTAATGTAAAGGGCAGATTCTACATTTTCTTATCTATGATATGTAACTCTAATTACAATTTTACTGTATTGTCCATTTATGTTTGCACATGTTTCAATAAATCATTGCACCTATTTCCCTTTTCCCCCCATTTTCCTAGCAACATATAATCATCCAGGAAAGGAAATCCCAGAACGCTGATTCTGTTCTTCTGGACATAGTTGGTTCTTTTCTTTTGCACAATACTGATCCAGAAACACTTCTTCTTTTCCAGGCCTCATATAAGGTGGACCGGTGCGAAACACAGAATTTAAAATAGTTTTCAGTTCCTGCACTAGTGACTGAAATTCAAATCTATGAAGGCACCATTAATGCTGAATCAAAATCTAGGTGTTAGAGCAACATATGAATCCAGCCATTGGATGCTTGGATGCCAATTTCAGCAGGACAATGTCACACCACGTTCTGCACATATTCCAATAAATGGCGTGGTAGTAAAAAAAAAAATTCTTTGTACCAAACTGGCCTGTCTGAAGTCCAGAGTACAGATTGTTGGTAAGAAAATAAGACGTGATGCAACACAGTTGCAAGGAAGATCAAAACTCAACTACTTTCAAAGGTGTTTCTGGCAACAAATTCAAAATGAGCACATTTATTTTAACAGGTTTGTTCCATCATCTGTCAGAATTAGTTTTGAAATTACTTTTTTTTTCTTTTCAATCAGTTTGAAAACAAAGAGCCATTTGATTTTTCTTCCCCTTTTTGTCAGATTATTACATGTTTTTATCAAACCAGGTGAAAACTTTATTGCATTTACTGGAATATGTGACATTATTGGGAGCTCCGTTGCATTTTAAAGAAATCTTTAGGCTGCTGCTCGCTCTGCCAGAGGAGCAAAAATTACAGTTTATTGAAAAAGACATTGATAGGTAAGCTGCCCGCTTTTATCTCCATCCTTTTATCCTATCATGCCAGAAGCCTAGCTCCAGATCTACAACTTGAAAATTCTTTTGTCCCCGGGGTGCACTCAGGGCTTTGTGAAAGCACTTTCTTGTTTTATGCACTCTGGGCATGGGATGAGCTGCAAAATGCTATTTAAAAATGGTCCTTTCTCTGGAAAGCTTCAAAGGTCTTTTCAGAACTGTCCCAGGGGAGTAATATTAGTGTTTTACAAAATCCCAGACTTGAGGTGGAATGTGTTGTGGGTAGCAGCGATGTGGATGGTCATCTTGTGATTCTTTTATGTGTATTTTTTTAACACGAAGATAAACTCCACAAGTTAGAACCGCCACAAAAAAGAGCTCTTGCGTCTCAGACCTGAGGATAAATCAGAAATAAAAGCAAATGAATCTGTCTTTAACCAGATACTTTTAATATGCAAAGATAAACATGACAACGACATGGTTGCTTAAGACGGGGAGCTATTATTGGCCTCCTGACTCACTCTGAGTCTTTTCCTGCTGTTTTATCCCTCTGTCCCCTCAGCTGCTTTCCTCACTGTCATTCTGGCAGTACAATTAACCCTGTACAACTCACACACACACACACACACAAAGCCTCAGTTAACATTTGGGTAAACTGAAAACATCAACACAGTACATGGATAAAATACCCAGTCGGGTAAGGCGCTCGGGTCATCGAAGCTGCCACCTCTTCTCTCACTTGTGATGCTATAACACATTAAAATGAATATTAATATAACTGCAAGATCACCCCCCAAGTAAGGAGTTTGAATGTGAGTGATCAGATAAGAGCTTCACCAGCACACAGCTCCTTTCACCAGCACAAAAAGGGCTTTTAAAAAGCTTTCTCAGGGGCTTGAGAGCCATGTGCCTCTTATGACACTCACAGGATTTGTGAAACTGACACTGGTTTATTGTTATTGAATTAACTGCTCGTAAAAGGTGATTTCAAAATAAAATGGCTCATTTAATATTGGCGGGGTGTTTTGGGGCCAGGTGAAGGAGAAAATTTCAGTTTCTCCACAGTTTCTTTTTTTTTTTCCTGCAGAAACACTTATTCACCATTCACTGTGGCTGAGTGGGCTCCATTAAGATCATATCACTGTAAGAGATAAAATATCATTGCCGTATTTCCAGGCTGCGGTGTGTGAGGAACGTTTGCTTGAAACGCAGGTTTTCTGATGAGCAGAACCGCTAACAAAACGCTCTGCAGCTTCACTCGAACACATCGCTTTGTCTGCCTCTGCAGAGACTCTCGAACTCGATCCATAAACGGGGAAAACCATCACTTCAAATAATGAAATCAACTTTGACCTTTGACTCCGCGCTGGTGTCAACATGTGAGATCAACCAAAGCTTAACCAGCAGCACTTCTCTTCATTCCGACATTCAAAGCTTGCACAAAGATTATGTGGGAGGTAGCTGCTGTTGAGTGGTCAAGAGCATTTCCATGAGCACGTTTTTATGAAAGTAAACGAGCTGCTGAACATCTGAATTACGCCGAAGAGGTGTAAACGCTTTAAATGTGGCCGAGAAGAGGAGCCGATGCATCAGCAAAGTCAGGGAATCGTTTTAAGCCTTTAACAGTCATTGTCCTGTGATGAAAGCTTCAGAAAAGGAATTTCTTCTATTTAAAAACAGACCATAGATTTTTTAAAAAAGCATTAATAGGAAAAAAAAAAGTCTTCCCACTCCTGTTAATGCACATGTTTATGTTTTATAGGGTTTGATTTCAAGCTCTTGGAAATTTCTGCCACCACAGAGGTGGAAAGAAGATAAATGGAGTTTATTTATTTATTCATTTTAACCAAAAACCATAAAGAAACTATATATTTTATTTCCCACACTAACGTAAATAAAATGTCTTTTTTAGGCCCCAAACTTTCAGTTGATATTCTGTTTAATGCCCCTCTGATAGACTTTTGTTGGCCTACAGTAGTGGTCAGATTTGAAAGTGGGCACCAACAATGAGTTGAACAGCCTTACTCCTGCCAGTTTGCTCAAATCCTAAATTATTTAGGTTGTAATGTCTCCATACTGGAAACTCACTTGCATATAAATAAACAGTTTATGGCCTCAGAGAGCAGGCCATAAAGTAAGAGGCAATGGAGAGCCCCATCAGTCCAGTGTTTTTTAGCAAGTCTTGCGTGTTGACAGTAAGTTGACAGTGTTCCTGAAATGATTTTTGATTAATTTATGAATAGAGTTAAAAGATGAAACAATATTCATCCAAAGTATGAATTGTTTCTTTCCAAGTCTGTTGAATAAAAAAATGGCATCGTTACATAAGAAAATCCTTTAATCTACCTTCCTTTCATTGTTTTGTTGTTGTTTCTTTATCTTGAACGCCTTCTTTTCTTTTCTTTTTCTTTCTTTTCCTTCTTTTTTTTTAAACTAAGTTCACTACTGGGCTTGTCTTTCTTCCATCTCGGCCATAATTTAAAACCTGGTTCAGGTGTAGGTCAGAAAAATCATTTTTAATGACCTGGAACTGACCTGGAATGTTTATCTCTGCAGTGATGCGTGGACTGAATAGCTGTGAGTCAACCCCTGCTTTATAGCCTTCTGTACTTGTGATTGGAGATAAGAAGTTTACCATAATACAGCTGCTGTGAAGGAAGGACCACAGATCCGTGGTTGGGCCTGACCTCATGCCCACGGAATGTATTCTTAGCGATAAAAATATAAAACGGACAAGTGGAAAAACAAATTTTGTTTGTGGTTCGCCAGTGATGAAAACAGCGAAATCCCTGTAGTTCATGTCCTGCTGGACTTCCATATTTGGTTAATCGTGTTTCCATAACCGACAAGATTTTTTGGACCGATGATAGTTATGGACAGTTTGGGGAGTGACCATTTGCTTCTCCTGCTGAATAAAAGTTTGGTTTATTCGTCCATGCGCGTTAACTGGTGAAGACACCAAAAAGAGACTGTCTGAAAATTTAAGGTTCAGGTGTTTGTTTGCTTCCACAACTTCACCGCTGGGATCGTTTGCCCGCTGAGCTGCCTGATTGGTCGTGAGGAGCAATGATGTCACCGCGCGCTTTGCTGTCCCGGCCGCTACAGCAGCCAACGCAGGCTGAGGACTTGAGAGGAGCTCCAGATGGAGTTGGCGCGCAGTGGGAGTAGAGCTATAGACTGTGAAGGCGTTGTTAGTGCTGCCTTGATGACCTCGACCTGGTTCCACTCACAGCCCAGCAGCCCGTCATGGGGGACGGTGGTGGCGCGTCCTCGCCAGTGAACTTCCAGAATGGCACAGGGAGCGAGACGTCCGACTCACCGGGCTCCGCTGCAGCCGCGTCAGAGCAGTGGATGGCGGGCATGAGCGTGGTTATGGCTTTGATCGTCCTGTCCATCGTGTTCGGAAATATCCTGGTCATCGTGGCCATCGCCAGGACGCAGAGGCTGCAGACTCTCACCAACGTGTTCATCGTGTCGCTGGCGAGCGCGGACCTCATCATGGGGCTCCTGGTTGTGCCATTTGGCGCGGCGCTCGCGGTGCGCGGTTCGTGGCTGTATGGTACCTTTTTCTGTGAGTTCTGGATCTCGGTGGACGTTCTCTGCGTCACCGCCAGCATCGAGACCCTGTGCGTTATCGCCATAGACAGGTATGTGGCTATCACATCACCTTTCCGCTACCAAAGCTTGTTAACCAAAGCCCGGGCCAAAGCGGTGGTGTGTGTGGTGTGGGCGATCTCTGCGCTGGTCTCCTTCTTGCCCATCCTGATGCACTGGTCTCGGGACAGCGTGGACACAGACTGCTACGAGGACCCCGAATGTTGCGACTTTGTCACAAACAGAGCATACGCCATCTCCTCATCCATCATATCTTTTTACATTCCTCTCCTGGTCATGATATTTGTTTACGCCCGCGTGTACAGAGAGGCGAAAAAGCAGCTGAGGAAGATTGACAAGTGCGAGGGCAGGTTTCACAACACCTTAACCGGACTGACCTCCAAGTGCAAGAAGAGGCCGTCTAAGATCCTGGCACTCAGGGAGCAGAAAGCGCTCAAAACGCTTGGCATCATCATGGGAACGTTCACTCTGTGCTGGCTGCCCTTTTTCATAGTGAACGTCGTGAGGGTTTTTTGCGCAGAGGTGGTGGACAAGGACCTTTTCGTGTTTCTGAACTGGCTGGGGTACGTGAACTCTGCGTTTAACCCCATAATTTACTGCCGAAGCCCAGATTTCAGGAAGGCTTTTAAGAGGCTGCTGTGCTGCCCGAGGCAAGCCGACCGCAGGCTACACATTAGCTCCTGCGACCTGTCCCGATGCTCCGGCGGGTTCGTCTCCTCTCTGGAGCCCGGAACGTTGGGGATGTGGTCAGACTGCGCCGGCTTGGACAACAGTGATAGTAGCCTGGGGACCGGAAAGTTGTCTCACTCCGAATCACAGCTGTGATAGGGGGGGGGATAATGACAAAATAGGCAAGTTTCTTTTTGGAGACGGAGTGCGTAAGAGCCATATTTAATCATTTCAATGGGGACCTTTTCAACAACAAACAGGATCATTTGAGTTCAAACAACAGGCGAAAATGCTAGAAACGTGTTTGAAAGCCATTTTTAAAGCATCAGGATAAATATTTTCCCGATATCTCCGTTTGGCTCAGAGAGAGAGTTTAGTGTGAAAGAGAAAATCAAATTTGCCAAAATTATAGCTCATCAATCCTAAAATGAAGTGGCTGTAAAGCTTCTGTGATTAAAAACCTGTCAGGTGCCGAATTTGAAATCCAGTAAATCTGTGCATCAGCCAAAGAGCGGAGTCGCACTCCTGTGATTTATGCCTGATATAAATATCAACTTTTCAGTTCTGATTTTGTTCGATAAACAGTTGATTTCTGCATTTATGCGTTATAATGGGGAAGTGAGAGTCCGATCCTCGCTCCAGGTTCGTGCGTAAAAATTCGCTCATCACCGCTCAGGCGCACTACAACGAACTGTTATTTAAAGGCACTGGATAAGATCAAGGCATTTGTCGGAGTGACTGTATCGCAGTCATGTAGAGCTCACGAAGTATTTTACCTCACAGCCATCGGCAAGTGCAATTTGTACGACAGGTATTTGTTTATATTAAACATTGGTGTAAAATAGCCTATTTATTCCGCGCTGTCTTTTACAACTAAACGAGTAATTGTGAGGCTGATTCTAATGCCCGTTGTACATAATGTGCTGTTTAGTGCCCAAGAGGAATTTGAGCCTCTCCCTTTGTCTTTGGCTTTACATGCTGTTGTGAGGTGGTGTGTTATAATGTCTGTGAAAATAAAAGAAAGTTTTACTGTTTATTGCTGTTTAACCCATTTTTCGTCTTGTTATTATTATTATTACTGTGGGAAGGTTTGACTCCACGGGGAGCTGCAGAAATTCTGAAATGCTAGAGGAGAAGTGATTGAAATGTAATCACATTCGGCAACCTCGGTTCGTTCACAATGTACTAAGAGACTAATAAGAGCAGCATTTTGTGGTTAAACAGCGTGGCACCGAGAGGTAAACGGCGCTCTGCAGGATTTGTGAATTGGCGTGATGTCAGATGCTGTTGTGCTGCTGGGAGGAAGAGGAATCTGATTGGCCACCGTGGAGAAGGGAGCCACGAAATCCGACTCTTGAACAATGCTTCTTGTGCGCTTTAATGTTGCAGGGATAAATAGGGGTTTGTTTGCATGCTTCATTAAAGTCCACTCGTGGGTGTATCGATATTGTAAGCTCAGTTCACAGCTGTCAGAGGAAACAATTGCGCACGGGGGTGAGGTGAGCCCACTTTACGGCACACGCTCTGACTAACTGGAAAAGCACAGGTGTTAGTGTGCTTAAAGGTGGCTCTGCTCTATTCAAGTTTCCAACTAATCCGTGACCCTGAGCTTGTATGCGCAATAACAGGATCCTGAAACCAAAGCATCTAAATGGATTTCACCTGTATTCATTTTATTATTTATACATTTACAAGTGTAACCTTTTAACCAGGGCCTTCTCTGCTGTGGGATACAAAGATGGCTCCAGTCTGTGAAAAAAGCCCACTGTTTCTCCTAATCCACATCATATTCTAATCCAATTGCACTACTAAACATGCCAATTTGATGTTGGGAGTTTTATGCGTTTCCGCCCCTGCCATTTTGTGTCTTCACTTCATTTGTGGTTTGCATACAAGCCTTCTTTTTTGTTTTGTTTTAAAAACAAAAACAACGATGTGTGGGTGGGTGGGGGCCTGGAGGTTCATCAGAGATAGATTTTTAGAAAGGATGGTCAAAAAAGCGATCCAACATATGCAGCTTAACTGGTAAAAACGCAGAGTTTCAAAGCCAAGCCAAGAAAACAGTGATGACTGTAACAGCAAGGTTCCCTTTTTTTCAGACCTTGAAAAGCTACAGAAAAAGAGGCATTACACAGCTATTTACACAGGCAGAGAAGCTCTCCCCAGGATGGGCAAGCTGAGCTTTAGTGGTAAAATTTATGTGGTGACACTTTAAAACATAAGTAAAGGTTGGAGCTACTACTACAAAAAAAATAACAGTAGGGGGGATTTTATGTCTTGCTTTGATGTCCCCAAATGTTTTAAGCTCTCACCCGCATCCACTCTCACTCAGGTTAACCACCTCTCCAGCATGCTGTTTGATGATTCCATTTTCCTCGAGCGATACTCTGAAAGCCTATAGAAAATATTTGAGTAAACACCACGGCAGCTGGTGTTCTGAAGTGGCTCTTACAGGAGAGATTTGCAGTTCTTTCTGGGGAATATTAATCAGCCCTTAAGCTGGACGTCTTTAAAATGCATTAGCATGACGTGTTGTGCTAATGATGCTCTCCCAAAAAGCCAGAGCTGTACATTTCAATTAGGCCGGAAAAACTGAATGGAACTGAGCTCAGCTGTTCTGGCTAATGAACAATGTTTAGATATGATTGGGTGAACTAATGAGTGTGAATGAGACCCAGCTTTCAGAAAAACGAATAAGAACACCAGTGCAGCCAGCGTCAGTGATGGCCTCCTGGCAAAGACCTGCTTCATTATTAAGCATTTGTTTGTTTGGCAGGAAGTTTGCGTTTGGGCAGATTAGCTGTGGGCTCACATATGGAGGAGCTAATCAGTGGTTTTAAGAGTAATTGTTTCAAATTGCATGTGTATCAGCAGACATTTTGGCTGCTCCAAGTCGAAGTAGATAAAGCGATACCAACATGACCTCTGTGCGAGCAGAGGTTATAACTCCATATGGTGTTTACATTCAGAAATATGTTCGCCAGTGATTTACCCTTGGTGTTTCACCCACATGTCTCTGTGGTATTTTACAGTCCAGGCTGGAGTGTAATATATTTAACTGTGATAGGCAAAGATCAGGGTTAAACACGGGGTTGTATTAGTAAACACTCCTAATTGAATTGTGCTTCATTACATCTTGTACATAATTTGTGGAATCTGAGACCATTTACAAGGAATTGAATAATGTCCCTCATAAAATTCCTATATCCCTACAATCCACACCTCCGTGCAACACCTAAACACTCCTTTGTTACCGCTGCAAGATCACTGGGTGCTGAAAATGGGTGTAAGGAAGGCAGCACTCAATACTTTAGTAAATAACTTTCTTTCTTGCTGTAGGTTAAATAGTGTAAAATAAAGACTCATCTTTGCAGCAAATACATTGCAACAGTTAAAACCTCATATAAAATAAGGGTAAAAACCTTTTTTAAAAAAAAGGGATGGAGGAGTTACATTTGTTAGTTGTTGGAATGGCAGAGACTTCAGCAGCCACAATTTCTGACCTTTGGACATAGTCATTGTTTCCAGGTTCTATGATAAGCTTCAAAAACAGATGTTTAGATCTTTTACTGTTACGTACACCCCCATGTTTCAGTAAATTCTCCCTCTGGTAATTAATTATTTGTTTTGGTTGTCCTAATTGTCCTGATTAGGTGCTGAGGCTCATGTACATGTTGGAACAAGCTGTTTCTCCTCCACCATTTATCAGCATACTTAATTCTAGAATTTTTTCTTTCACTTTTTTATGATCAACTATTAACTTATAGGCCTCAGTTTTCAAGTTTGTCACTTGTTAATTAGTTTTGGGGCTTTAATCCAGCAGCCCACTGGATGCTTGGTTGATGGTGGGTTTTTTTGCTTTATTTTATGTTGTGTTTGTTGCTTTTTGAGTCATTATTTTGTGTTGTTAAACTTGGTTTCCATGAGTTTTTAATTTAGGGGATGTAACACATTTGGGGGCTCATCCGGGATCCAGACCTAACACAGCCCAAGCAAGAATAATAACTCCTATCATGTTTTGACTAGAAAGTGACCACAGTTAGGTTCATACATTTCTGGACAATCACACATTTTATTTTTTTTTTTTTGCATCTTTGCTTCTGTATATCAAAACAGTGAATTTTAAATCAAACAATCAATATGCAATTAAAATACAGATTTTCAGCTTCAATTCGAGGGGTTTAACAAGTATTGCATCAACTGTTTAGCAATTACAGCCATTTTTATACACAGTCCCACATTTTTAGATGCTCTAAAGTCATTGGACACTTGATTGCCAATCAGTTTAACGGTCAGACGAGATCTGTTCTCCCATTGTTTCATGATAGCTTGATAAAAGTTCTGAAATTGCTTCCAAATACTGAAATTGCTCTTATTCGAGGAGGTCAATAGTAAGGTCCAAGCAAATTAGAGATCAACAATCAACAGTCTGGTACATTATTAAAAAGAATGCGTGCACTGGGCAGGTTATAGACCTTTAGAACTGTGCAAAAGCCTTGAGCCACTCAAAACGTTTTAATATTTTAGTAGGAAAAATGTAAAATAGCTGCAACAATCTATTAACAGATGTGTAAACAGGAATGGAATTACAGTGTATGAGAAAAAAGCAGTAACAAGATTGAAAGTCAATGTTTGGTACAACATTTGAACCTCCCCTTACATTGGGACAACAGTGTAACCCCAAAATGTCAAATTTTCCACTTATTTTTCAACCCAGTTCTGGAACAGTTTGGCATACCTCAGCCTTTTTTCTGTTTCCCTTCCTTAAGAATGGCTTCTTCACAGCCAGCTACCAGTGAGACCATTTCTGATAAATCTTCAGTGACCAGTAGACAAATCAACTAAAAAGGCCAAACGCTCATCTCAGGTGCTGCGTCAGGTCTTTGCTGGATTTTTCCTGTTTCATAGGTGCAGAAAATATTTACTTAACTTCATTTCCTTTGACTGTTCTTAAACCTTTTGTTTATTTATAGTCTCTGAAATATGGTGATATTTTGTAAGAACATTTTTCATGACCTTCAAAAGCACTTCATCAACGCTGCGCTGAAACTTCAAGGGAGTGTCTGGAGTGCTTTCAGATCCTCTCGGCCAACAGGTGCGAAGCTTCATCCAGTTATTGCATGGATTCTTGTCCAGATTATGAATATTGTCAATGCCAACCACCTCCTACAGCCTTCTGCTCTTGATTAAAGACCGAGGGAAATATCAAAATCATCAAGTAGATTAAAAAAAACAAACAAAAAAAACCCTGCAACAATTAGAGCAATCTTTGTGAATCTTGATGAATCTCTGCTGACATATATTTTCTTCATGATGTTTTTCACTAAGCATCCTCTAAATAATAAATAGATCCAACAGAAACATGATTAGAAACACAGTTTCTGTAAAATGCTAATGCAAATAACCGTTTTCTTCAGCGGGTGGTGTTCCAGGGGAGGCTGTTACAATCTTTGAGCGAGAAAAACAAAAGCGCAAATTTCTGAAAGCTACAAATGTCAGCACCTGGAGATAATTATTGCTGATTGCTGATTATTACAGTCTTATCAAACCCAAACAACAGATATGCTAAATTTATGCAACAGGATCATAAAAAGTGCTCCACAAAGATAAAAAAAAAGCTTATCTTTTTTTATGAATGTAAACCATTTCAAAGTGAACTCATACAGACCCTGTAGCTGGCACACGTCTCTCTGATGATCAAAATTCGACTTCTATTGGCTAATCAAAACCTCTCAACCCTGTAAGATTGAAATCCCCTGTGACTTTTTTCCACTCTAACTCAAGCTGTACGTGTTGAGGTGCGTTGCCAAAAGCAGGTGCTACACTTCATGTGTCCATCTGTTTGGATTGCCCGTGTGAACTTGGCACGTTGCGGTCTCCATCTGCTGGGCTTCGGCTTGCTGCGATTGTAGCTTGCATGAAGATTGGGTGAAGGTGGTCAGCGATGGTCAGCGTTTATGCTCAACTTTAGTGATGCAAACTGACTTACTTTGGAAATGATAAGCCACGCGTAGTACATTCATGAAAGCATAACTGCTTTTTGGAACATTTGCAACAGGAACAGGAACGACTGAGGAACATTTCGTCTTCATATCGAACATTAAAATCAGTGAAGCTGATTTTGTTCCTTTTAGAACAAAGCTCAGGGCAGATTGATACCAAACAAACTAACATACCAAACAAACAAGTCCGGGAACAGTGCAGCTTTTAAATCAAAGAACTTGGCACTAATAAGCTATCCAAACAGCCTTGGGGTAGATAAGGTACATCAGCATAAATGTTTCTTTTAAGAGTCCATCTGACAGTCATAGATGAACACATCTGATCAGTGCAGTACTCCTCTTCATTTCCTCCATTTTTATTCTTTCTCTCATGAAATGAGTAACATATCAAGCATCGATGCACTGCGGCTCTTTAAAGCCTTCTCCGACTTTCTCCCCAAGTTGCTCCTTGCCGTGCCAGCCTCAGTCTTGACCTTTTTCTAAATCCTTACACTCGAATCCCAAGAAGCTGATGAGTCATTGTCTGACTGCTTGAGATTTAGTGTCCAGGATGAGACTCAGTACCAACAGAGATCATGATTAAAAGAATATTTGGACACTAAGGTTAGATCACAAGATGTTATTATGATAAGATGCAACTGGGAAGCAGGTGCCTCTCTTCAAAGGTAGCAGAAACCATCTCCACCCATGCAGGCTTACTCTATTAGGCAATAACATTTTGCTTCCAAAAGCAAGACTTTCATGTAATTTTGAAAGGAATCTTCAGCAATAGTTCTTCCCGAAAGCCTTTCAAAGTTTTCTTTTTGTTTTTCATTTGTTAAACCAATTAACACTTACAGTCAAGTATAAAAAAGGCTCTTAATCCAAGATAGGAGGCAGCGTTGTGTCTACACATAACAGATGACTAATCAAAGAACAACGTTTAAATTATACCTTTAGGCAGAATTCACAAAAACACATAATTTGTTCACATTTCTTTAGTTGAATCTATGAAAAATGTGAACGTTCACACAGTTTGGCAGATTTAAATTGGATTTTTTTGCATGAACAATGAGATTTCAAAAGCGCTATTAGTTGGAAATTTAGCAAATCTCAACCCGCTGTGCAGTGTGTCCTTACAAAAACTGAGGAAACTGGACAAGTGAAGGATGAAAAGCCATCTAGAGCAGAAGAACATCTGTAGTCATCTGTAATGGCTTTAGACATGGAGGAAGCTCTGTCATAGCTTAGGGCTGAGTAGGGCTGAAGTGCTGTTGGTGGGGAACAGAACAAAGAAAAGTACCATCATATTTTGCTCTACTATGCAATAACATCTATAAAGTGATCTCAAACACACTGCCATTAAGGTAAATACATACCTGGATAGAAAAGCACACAGTGGAGCACCATCAGTCATGGATTGGTGTCCCTAGAGCCCAGACCTGCACATCATTGAAGCCGTGTGGGATCATCGTGACAGAGAACAGGAAAAAAAAAAAAAAGGCAGACAACATCCAAAGGGGAGTTTTAAAATGTCTTTTAACTATTCCTGAAGACTACCTAAAGAACGAAGGTGGTCATACCAAATATTGACTTTCAGGCTTGATATTGCCTTATACGTAGATAGCATCCTCATGTATGTTTGCATATGTTTCAATTACTTGCTGTACCTATTTCTTACTTCAAAAAATGTAAAGAAATCAAGTGTGACTCAAAACAGTTTTGCAGTACTGCATGTAGTGGACAAAAAGAATCTAGCAGTTTTCCTTGTTTCTAGGCTTGTGATGAACTGCTGGCTCCAGTTTCATAATAAAACGGAGTGAAGTCATCTGAAAGTGTCAAAATATTTAGGTTACCAACCTTAAACTCCTCTTTCCAGCGACTACAATGATGGAAGGAAGTGTTATTACCGAGTCCACATCTTCCCGCACATATAAAATGTCAGCGCTGCAAGGCATTTTATATGGAGATGTTTATTTTTTGGCACCTTCTAATCCTTCCAAGTCCCTTTCTTATATAATGAATCACTCATGGTCAGATGGATTGGTCCTTCACAACAGCGTTGTATTTCGAGAGGTGGGCTTGCACTCCCATGATGAGTGGCTTCACAGAGCGTTCAAAGCTCCCGAGAGACCAAGCTGAGTCTAAAAGGGGAAAAGTGCCCTTTTGTGACTTTGGGGTTTTTAACCCCTCGCAGTGAAGGTCGCTGTGTCCCACCAGCAATTCCTCCCAGTCCTACTCAGCTCGTCTCTTGTTTATCTGAACTTCTCATTTAGATGAGTGATCAAACATGCAGAGCAAAAGTGTTAATAAATTGCTAATAAATTATGGTTATTTAACCACATTGAAAAGTGTGCATGGTAGAGTATTGTTTTGTTACAGATGAGTTCCAGCGTTTTCCAGCAGGGTCACAAATCAAGTGGGAATCACAGGTTCAGGCTTTCTCAGGGCATCTTTTCCTTTAATGCTAGAGTTTCTTTAATAAAGCTAGAGTTTCTGCTTGGTTTCCCTGCACCGCTTCCGAGCACTGAAACTACACTCCGGGCCGTTTAAAAAGCCTTCATCACACTCAAGGTTTATCGCTACCTTTCTTGCTGACTCCCTGCAGTTATCACTCCCCCCAAGGCTTTGACTGTATCTCGTCTGGCCCCACATACACAAGACAAAGTCCAGACACGTCCACATGTAGCTCTGGT